TATTGCTAACACAAGATTGGACCCCCTAGATAGATTAGCAAAAATCTAAATATTACTAAATTACTATTATCAAATCGTTAACACACCGTAATGTTGTTGTTGTTTTTACGATTTCAAATATTTAAGATTTTATAGTTTACAATTTTTTTCAACATAATCTGTCTTTGTTTTAATTTATTTCACTGTTTTTCATTCCAATGGTTATAGTTCGTAGTATATTTCCATATTTACTCCTGCATTTTTAAAAACAATTGGTTTTAACCAAGAAATGTTGCGAAATTTATAATATGAAAAAATTGTTGGGAACTAAACCTAAAAGAATGCGTATGATAGAAAATGTTTTACGTTTTTAAGAAATTCCAAAATATTGCACGCCGGTTCAATGAAGGATCAGTACAAAATTTGTTGGAGATCCAGCGTGAGATGCTGGAATAAGATGCAACTCTTGAACTGCTTAGATAACACTACTGGTCTTCCATAACGTCGGATCCTTGCGTTCTTATCTTTGTTCAGCCTTGTGTTCAAGAATCTGTTACAAGAACTAACGAGGATAGCACCTGCCTATCAGACACAAATAAAGTACTTAAAAGTTAATTGGGCGCAAAGTTAACGATTTTACCATATAAGACGTAAGTTAGAAATAATTATGTCAAATAAGGCGTGTGCTTAGAAAACAGTGCAATCTTGGAAAGAAGCAGATATACAGGATGATTCTCAACCTATACGCTTAAACTGAGGGATTTATTCCAAGGACAAATAATGACTAACAGATGAAAAAAATTGTAGTAAAAGTATTTTAGTTTCCCAGATATCCGATATAATCGGCGACATCTAGATAATGTGTTTCCTGAAGATGGATAGGTCGAGATGGTCCAATGGCCTGGCCACAGTGATCGCCCGGCTTCAATCCTCTTGACTTATACCTTTCGGGTCACTTAAAAAGCATAGTGTACGCCACAAAAGTTAATACTCAGTAAATATTGCAACATCAGATACATGCTGCTGCCCAGACAATCCGTCAACACCCTGGTTTTGACCGCACTAGTGGGATCGTAGATTTGGGTATATACAAAATATTTGTCTAGATTATTTGTGGTTTTGAAGGTAAGATTGATGACAACTAATCTGGTAATAATGTATTTTGTCTTTTTTGCTTATAATTTAAGTTACCATTTTCTAAATTTTCGGGGTTTTTCCTTTTTAACTTGAATTAGGTTGTAACTGAGCAAGATCTGATTATGAATTGTGCCTTCTTGGTTGATTGCAAATAAGTTCTACACTAAATATTATTCCCCATCATTAATGATTTTCGTTATGATATATTTTAGCAAAAAAATTCAAAAATCTTGATATTTTGGATACTTACAATTTTTAACTAAGAAATGTTATAACTACGCTGAATCCGGTTATGGATTATGTCTTTTTGATTCTTAATAAACAAATTACATGCGTAATATTTTTCTCCACTACTTAGACTTTTTTTTTTTTTGGTATCATTAGCGAACCCAACCCAATTTTATTTCGGGTTGATTAGATGAGCTGGAATTGAGTTTGAATGGGTTCATTTAGGTTCATGTGATTTGGGTTGGTGTTAGTTTGAGAGTAATTTTGATAACTTTGGGGAAAATTTTTTTTGCGTTAACTAACATCAAATTATTAAAAAGGCGATATTTAAAATGTTGTACATAATAAATTGGTGATCGTGGATTTTATTTTTTATAATTTGGTATAACCTAATCTCAAACGTTGATTTAAAACCTCATATAGTTAGACATCTTAATTTGTAACCGTATTAGACAAAGCAACTTTTTGCCATTAAGCATTAACAAACATCAAATCAAAAGGCGAGAGAGAAATCAATATTTATTTAGGTTGGGTTGGCCACTGCGCTGAACGTTGGCCCAAAAGGGTTATCAACCATAGTCTTTCTGACCGGAATAATCTAGGTTTGAATTTGGTTTTTTCTTAGTTTGTGATGTGTGCAGCGATCTGAAGTGTTTTATAGCTTTCATCTTCACCTTGATGGCATGGTCGGAAAACTTTAACCTTCTGTCAATCGACATTGCCAGTTATCCTTAGGGAAGGCCTTGTTGAGGGAAGAATCTGCGAGACAAGTGGTTTTCTAGTTTTACTACTCAGGAATGGTTTGAAAAAAATTAGTTAATTAAGATACGGACGTTAGGCGGGATATTCAACTTATTAAGCTTGAAAGTTGGAAATCAGCACAGCCAGAGCGCGGGGTATAGATCTACCAGATTGAAAGCCAAATTGGTACGAAGGTATTTTATTTGAGACAGCTTCCAATAGCTTGTTTTTGATGTGTGTTTCCAAGATCTTATCAATGACGAGAAGAAGGGAGATAGGACGATAGTTGGACAGGTCAGATAGTGATGATTCTTTATTGCGAACAAAAATTATAACGGAGGTCTTCCAATCGGTGAAATGTTGGTGGGTTAGGCAGTAGTTTAAGATTTTTCTTATGTAGGTATGAGTAGGAGGATTTAGCTTTCGTAGTATACTTTTTGTAACATGATCGTACCCAGAAGCGGTGCTTGTTCCGTTGTTTAAGATTAAGAAGTATTCGTCCTAGTGGATCAAACCATTTTCTTGTGTAGGCCTGGGAGGTTAAAGCAGATTTATACCTATCGTCTATCATGGTTTTATTGACACAGCAGAAACAGGCATCATCCGAGAATAAGAACACACGCTGAAGGTAATTCCTTGGATGTTAACAATTTCATCATCTTGCCAGCATATTTTGCCTTTTGATTTGTTGAAATTATCGCAGGCTTCGATGTACCTTTCGCTTTTATATTATTTAAATCAGTTTTGAATGTGTTTACATTGGTAGTGGGTCAAAAGGCGATTTTTATAATTTTATACAAAATAAATTGATCATTCTGGAATCTTAAGGCGATTCTACACGATCATTGTGACTGTCAATGTGCAAATGTGCTAACGATTTTTTAAAGATTGAAGTAAGAATTAAACTTGCATGATTCTTCACATCAGTTCAAGTACACAATTCTTTCTTATCCACTGCTTTCTGAATGTTTGCGTTCATGATATAGTATTTCTTCATGTTATTACGACTTCTTACAAAACGTTTACTACGGTAATAAGGATTCTATTATCCCTATTTTAGGTTGTAACTCCTTTGACCTCAAGATATGTATTTTTCCCCTTTATCTTTACGCTTTCTGCGAGGTTTTCTTCAATTCATTATTTCATTAACTTCATGAGTTGCAATCTTATGATTTCGGGAAACATCTTCTATGCCTGGCTTGGTATACCGTTTATTTCTAGTGCCTTTGTGGATTTAGTCCGTCCATTCTAATTTCTTCTACCGAAATTTTGAATCCTTGTAGATATGTTGCCGGGATGTCATTAAGTGCAGAATTAACTACGTCTTCTTGGCTTTCTTATTGTTTAACTAGATTTTCAAATTGATTTGAATACCATCTTGGGATTTGGTAATCTTCTTAGGTTTGTGATAAACAGCGCTTACAATTAGTTAAGGACTTCAATTTCTAGAAGAGTGTTTTTTTACATTCTCACATTATCTATCACTTTCTAATTGATTACTGCAGCTGATTATACTTTTTTTATGTAAATCCATCGTTTGGTTTGTTTTTATTATGTTTCCCTGCAGATTGGCCTCCATCATGTTTGCCAGCAACCCATTTCATTAATCTGCTGACTTTTTTTTCTGCACAAGTTCCAATGTGTTCTTGTTGCTGACATTCGCAGCTTGCTGTACTTATCCTCTACGTTCCCTGAATGCAAATTCATGCTTCGAGGGTAAGCCATCGTCTTGGACTTTAGTAATTGCAGCAGAAGTATGCTTATAGACTTCTTGGTAGATGGGTTTCCTATTCTTGGGTTGTGACGAATCTTTCCCCAATTTTGGGTTTTTCATGAAATTTGCAATCTTACAGTTTATAAAAACATCTTCTATGCTTCCCTATGCTTTTTCTTCAGCTGTCAAACACATTTTCACATCTACGCTTTGCCTTTCAATAAACGGTTTTACATCAGCACATCCATTCTGCATTAACGAATTTGCGATTCAAACAGCAAATTTATATTTAAATATTATTTGTACTACAACTATAACTACAATTGATACTCGACTATGATTAGTAGTTCTTATTTCAATACAACAGTAACTTGAGAAAAGATATAAAAATTACAGAGAAATCTTAAAGTAAATAACAAATGTGAATCTAAGTTAAGATTAAATTCTTTACTTAAAACAAGAATCGTAACCGAATGAAATCACTAAAACGATTCGGATAATTGACTAAATCGGCTTACAAAAGCTGTACGACAACCTTCTCTTTTTAGAGAGAGAACGGGTTGGTAGCGGAGTTTGAGGGAGATTTTGAACGAGAAAACGAAGAAACGATGATGATGTAGGGGCGGAGAAAAGCACCCCAATTTCCCTTAATAATAAGTCAATTGAAATCAAAATGAACAAGAAGCTCACGAAAGCGGAACGAGCGTAATTTACATTCATCTCCTGTCGTTGCCAGAACCAACGATAAAAGGTGATCAATTTTATTCAATAAAAACCTCAAATATTCTTTATCTAAAAAAAAAATTAAATAAATATGGATTATTAATAAACATAACTAAAAAGATTTTTCTTACTATTATTGGTTTTTTTTGATGTCATAATGAAATTATATTTCTTGTTCGCGGAAACGTGGTAAACATGTTGTTTATGGTGGCACAAATCAAAGCAAACACCATCAAAGCGAAACGTGATTTTATATTTTTTTACGCTATTTTGTAATATCACTTTCCGCATTGACCTTCGTTTCCGTACATTCGATTAAACGGAAACAAATGCGCGTTGTTTTTAAATTATTGAAATAATTACGCTCCGCGAATGTTACAATTTCAATTATTTTACTCCCCCATAAATTATTATCATATCTTTCATTATTTTTTAATATATAAACCAGGAGCAAAATCATGATCGGTATCAGTTTCTTTTCTTTCTACTGAAGTAAAGTGACTTACTAAAAAGTTATAAAATCAAAAAAGTTATTAAAGATGAAAACTATATTGATGGTCTTCTCATTTTTTGTTTTAATACAAAAATATGAGAGTGCAAATATTTTGGCGATATTTCCATTCCCCGGCAAAAGCCATTTTATGATGCTTCACCCCATTGTGAAAAGATTAGCTGAAAATGGACACAATGTTGATGTTATGAGTCATTTTCCTCAAAAGGAACCAATTCCTGGGTAAGTTTTAATAATTATTTCTTTTTTGGGAAAATAATTTTTCAATTCATTTTTCCTTCATTCCAGCTACAATGATATAAGCCTAAAAGGTTCCATGCCAATCCTAACAAACAACGTAACCCTAAATACCTTAAAATCAAAGGGAATCCTCAACGATTTAATTTTTATTTTCCGTTTTGGAGGCACAATGATGTGCGATTCGGTTCTTGCAACAAATGAAGCCCAAGCCTTACGAAATACAACGAAAAAGTACGATGTTTTAATCTCACATTTAATGCCATCTGATTGCTTGAACGTATTCGCTGGAATTTTTCGAATACCTTTAATTACAATAAGCACCACCGTGAATCAACCATGGAGCAGCGATTTAATCGGGATTCCAGACAATCCTTCTTACATTCCTCATAATTATATGACAGCCGGCACAAAAATGACTCTAAAACAACGTTTATGGAACACTTTAGCTTTAATGTTGTATAAAATGAGTTTTGATTATTTCCAAGAAGAAGCGAATAGAATTATTATAAAGCATTTTGGTGAAGGGATACCGCATTTAAAAGAGATTGCTAAAAATACTAGTTTGGTGATAACAAATAGCCACTTTAGTATACAACAACCACGACCGGCTGTTCCTAATTTTATTGAAGTAGCTGGTGTTCACATCGATGGGAACGTTCAATTAAACGATTATTTTTCGAAAATTTTAAATGACTCAACTAACGGTGTTATTTATATGAGTTTTGGGTCGATGTTAATGACGGAAACGTTGCCGGAAAATGTATTAAAATCGATTTTTAATACCTTTAAAAAATTACCATTAAAAATTTTATGGAAAGCCAATCGCGATTTGTTCCCGAAAAATTTGGAAATACCGTCAAACATTCAATTTGAAACTTGGTTACCACAACTGGGAATTTTATGCCATCCAAACACAAAATTATTTATTAGTCATGGTGGGATGTTGAGCACTCAAGAAGCTAATTATTGTGGCGTTCCAATACTCGGAATTCCAATTTTTGCCGATCAAGTTTTAAACATTAAAACGGTTGCAACAAAAGGAACCGGATTAGAATTAAATTTCGAAGAGATTAACGAAGAAATCTTTTCGATGGCTGTTGGACAACTTTTAGGAGACGATTTTAAGAGACGAGCTGAAGAAGTATCAAACATTTACAGAGATAGACCGTCATCACCATTGGATACTGCTGTTTATTGGATCGAATATGTTATTAGACACAAAGGAGCATATCATTTAAGATCTCATAGCGTCGAATTACCTTGGTATCAATATTTTTTGATTGATGTTGCGTTAATATGTTTATCAGTGGTGGTCATAGCGTTTATGTTAGGATTTTATAGTACTAAATTTTTAATTGCGCTGTATAAGAAATTTTTGTATCATAAGTTTAAAACGGCTTGAGAATCAATTTTATGTAAATCTTTATGATGTCCTATTATTTATTTTGTATATTATGTAAATATTTAGATTATAATAAAAAATTTTGAAAATATAAATTTGGTGTATTTGATGATTTCTTAACTTCTATTGCTGATCAAGTTCTTATAACTACAGATCCTGAATTAATAATTATAGAATCTCTCGACAGTCGTTTCTAGAAATTACACACTAGAAGTTGTTAATCTTGGTAGTGGACAAAATAATTAAGACTGAAGATAAAAATTTCCAACATCAAATTGGCACGATTTGTGTAAAAATGGTTAGCAACTTCTCATAATTGCAATGAAATGCTTCTGCTGACCCCAAAAAATCTTAAAATTGAATGAATTTGATGGATAAAACTCCAATGAAAAGGATTTCCTGAGCTGAAATGTTGCTATAATATAATTAAAGGATAAATAAAACGTAAAGAAGATAATTTGCACACATGATGAATGAAATTTATTGAAGTATAAAGAAATGAGGATAAGTTAACAAATATAACAATAACAAATTATAAGTTTCTATCACTTTATTTTACAAAAAATTTTAATAACGCTACCCATTGTAATAATAAATGTTTCTATTGTTTCTATAGCAGGTGCTAGTATGTAGTAGGGCTAAAAGTTCAAGCAAACTTTATTCTCAACAATATTGCAAAAGTGTAAAAACTTCCGTAAATATCGAGAAAAATTCGAAAAGGTGAAAGTTCGATAAAATCGTGATTTTACATCATTCGTATGCTAAAAAACGGTATTCGAAACGTTTTAGAAAAAAAGTTTTAGTATAAAAGTTGTAGCAAACTTTAATCTTAACAATATTGTACTTTTACACTTTTGCTCTCAGATGCATGAATATCGAGAAAAATTCGAAAAAGTGAAAATTAGATGAAATCTTAACTTTACACCTTGTTGATAGTAGAGCACAGCATTAAGAATGTTTTAGAAAAAAAGTTTTAGTATAAAAGTTGTAGCAAATTTTATTCTTAACAATATTGTACTTTTACACTTTTGCTCTCATATGCATGAATATCGAGAAAAATTCGAAAAGGTGAAAATCGTATGAAATCATAACTTTAATCTCGTTGTTAGTAAAGTGCGGAATTCGGAACGTTTTAGAAAAAAAGTTTTAGTATAAAAGTTGTAGCAAACTTTATTCTTAACAATATTGTTCTTTTACACTTTTGCTCTCAGCTGCATAAATATCGAAAAAAATTCGAAAAGGTGAAAATTAGATGAAATCTTAACTTTACACCTTGTTGATAGTAGAGCACAACATTAAGAATGTTTTAGCAAAAAGTGTTAGAATAAAAGTTGTAGCAAACTTTATTCTTAACAATATTGTTCTCTTACACTTTTGCTCTCAGCTGAATAAATATCTAGAAAAAATCGAAAAGGTGAAAATTAGATGAAATCTTAACTTTACACCTTGTTGATAGTAGAGCACAGCATTAATAATGTTTTAGAAAAAAAGTTTTAGTATAAAAGTTATAGCAAACTTTATTCTTAACAATATTGTTCTTTTACACTTTTGCTCTCAGATGCATAAATATCGAGAAAAATTCGAAAAGGTGTAAATCTGATGAAATCGTAGTTTTACATCTTGTTGTTAGGAAAGCAAGAAATACGGAACGTTTTAGAAAAGAAATTTTAGGATACATGTTATAGAAAACTTTATTCTTAACAATATTGCTCTTTTACACTTTTGCTCTCAGGTGCGTAAATATCGAAAAAAAATTGAATAGGTTAAAATTCGATGAAATCGTGGTTTTGCATCTTATTGTTAGTAGAGCACGGAATTCAAAACGTTTTAGCAAAAAAGTTTTAGAATAAAAGTTGTAGCAAACTTTGTTCTTAACAATATTGTTCTTTTACACTTTTGCTCTCAGCTGCATAAATATCGAGAAAAATTAGAAAAGGTGAAAATTAGATGAAATCTTAACTTTACACCTTGTTGATAGTAGAGCACAAGATTAAGAATGTTTTAGAAAAAAAGTTTTAGTATAAAAGTTGTAGCAAACTTTATTTCTAACAATATTGTTCTTTTACACTTTTGCTCTCAGATGCATAAATATCGAGTAAATATCGAAAAGGTGTAAATCTGATGAAATCGTGGTTTTACATGTTGTTGTTAGTAAAGCACGGAATACGGAACGTTTTAGAAAAAAAGTTTTAGTATAAAAGTTGTAGCAAACTTTATTCTTAGCAATATTGTTCTTTTACACTTTTATTCTCAGATGCATAAATATCGAGCAAAAATCGAAAAGGTGAAAATCTGATGAAATAGTGGTGTTACATCTTCTTGTTAGTAAAGCACGTAATAGAGAACGTTTTAGAACAAAAGTTTTAGTATAAAAGTTGTAGCCAACTTTATTCTTAACAATATTGCTCTTTTACATTTTTGCTCTTAAATGCATAAATATCGAACAAAAATCGAAAAGGTGAAAATTAGATGAAATCTTAACTTTACGCCTTGTTGATAGTAGAGCACAGCATTAAGAATGTTTTAGCAAAAAGTGTTAGAATAAAAGTTGTAGCAAACTTTATTCTTAACAATATTGTTCTCTTACACTTTTGCTCTCAGCTGCATAAATATCTAGAAAAAATCGAAAAGGTGAAAATTCGATGAAATCAGCTTTATATCGTGAAGTTAATAAAGCATGGAATTCGGAACGTTTTAGAAAAAAAGTTTTAGTATAAAAGTTGTAGCAAACTTTATACTTAGCAATATTGCTCTTTTACACTTTTGTTCTCAGATGCATAAATATCGAGAAAAATTCGAATAGGTTAGAATTTGATGAAATTGTGGATTACATATTACTGTTGGTAGACCACGGAATGCAGAATGTTTTAGTATAAAAGTTGTAGCAAAGTTTATTTTTAGTAATATTGCTCTTTTACACTTTTGTCCTCAGGTGCTTAAATATCGAGAAAAATTCGAAGAGGTGAAAACCGATAAAATCATGCTTTTACATCATTCTGAAGCTAGAGAACGGCATTCGAATCGTTTTAGAAAAAAAGATTTGGTATATAAGTTGTAGCAAACTTTATTATTAACAATATTGCTCTTTTACACTTTTGCTCTCAAATGCAAAAATATCGAGAAAAATTCGAAAACATGAAAATTCGATGCAATTGTAGTTAACATCATTCTGATGCTATTCAAAACATTAAAAAGAAGTTTTAAAATCCTATCTTAATTGGGAGGTAGAAAAATTGGGGACTAACTTCGCATAGGTGATTGAATTTGATCTTTGTTAGAAATATGGTTAATGGAAAAAATTGGTTTCTCCAAATCAGTAAGAAATGAATTATATTATTATTATTAATGAATGTTTGAGGATTATAACAATTATTACTTAATGCCAACTATTTTATTTTATTTAAAATTTTAAATATTTTCCGATTTAATTTGAAGATAAACGAAAAAAGTTTAAATCGTTTAATCATTAAATCGTCGCATTTAAATTCGATATACGAAAGAATTGAGTCGCACTTAATAGGTCTATTAATTACTAAATAATTCATAATGTGTATTCTTCACAAAACAATTTTTAATCATTTATTATTTCTTTAAAGATATGTTAAAAACTAATTTTAATTTTCTACGCAAAAAAATGATTTATGGGAAAATTTTATATTTCATAAAGATTTTTCCTTTCTGCGCTCATTAATCAATAATAAAGAGCTTGTATTTTTTGTCATATTTTTCTCCTAATCGTTTTCTGAAACGTTTAAACTATTTCTCTTATTTCTAGATAATATACTCAAGTTAAAAAGTAATTTTAAATATTTTATTTTCTAAACGAATGTCTATAATTCAAAAATTCTTAACGTACACCTCAAAACAGTATCAAGTTATTTCTTGTTTTTTCTTTGTACCGTGACCTCCTGGTTTTAAAGTGTCAATAACAAATACCACGTACTCCACGTGTTTACCATTTTGTTTTATCAACTTTATCAATGAAAAAATGTTTAAATAATTCTTGCACAAAGAAAGAAATTACTATCCCTCATATTATAAAATTTAATATTTTTCAATAGTTCGTTTGAAATTTATTGTACCACTACAACTATAATAAATTAAATTAAATTCTAGAAATAACGTAGTAAATATGTATGTTAATAGACAAGGATGAGAAATAAAAGAAATACTATATAATGAAATTTCCCTCAACTCAACATATAAACTGTGAATCGAAACCGTAACAATGAAGTTTGCTTTAATAACTTTTTTAATAATAAATTATTTCAAAATTATCGAAAATGCCAATATATTAGCAATTCTACCTTATCCAGGAAAAAGTCATTTTACTGTGTTTAAGCCAATTTTAAAAAACTTGGCAGATCGTGGACATGAAGTTGATGTTATGAGTCATTTTCCATTAAAAAAATCGCACAAAAGGTAATTTTTTCTTTTTTAATTTCTAATTAATTAAAACTTTTTTAATTTTCAGATATAATGATATAAGTTTAGAAGGTGTAATGGAAATAAAAACCAACAACATTAAAATTGAAGAATTAAAGAACACTAATTTTTATGAAAACATAAACGTTATATATAAAATTGCAGGAGTTGAAATGTGCGAGGCACTTTTAAATTCCCAACAAGCTAGAGATCTTTTAAATTCAACAAAACGTTATGATTTAATGATTACTCAAGTAACAGCGGGTGATTGCATGTATGGTTTTGGGGATGTTTTTAAAGTTCCCATAGTGGCTATTACAACAAGCGTTAATTTACCTTGGGTTAGTGATAGAATGGCTTTACCTGATAATCCGGCTTATATTCCTAATTATTTTTCGTCGTTCGAGCCACAAATGAATTTTTTTCAACGATTTTGGAACAGCATTTTGCTGTTAACTACAAAATTTAGGTAAATTTTTTATTATTTATGTTGCAAATTTAATAAATTATTCGTTATAGTTATCACATACATCAACAATCCATCGAAAAAATCGCTGAAGATTTCTTTGGAAATAAAATCTCATCATCGATTAAAGACATTTCAAAGAATGTCAGCTTGGTTTTAGTTAATAGCCACTTCAGTATTCAACAATCAAGACCGTTAGTCCCGAATTTCGTTGAAATAGCTGGAATTCATATAGAAAAGGATTTTTCTTTGCCATCGGTAATTAATCAAATTTATGTCCAGTCGGGTGATTTTTTTTTAAGGCATCGTTATGTCACGCCACGGGCCACAAACTCCTTCATTACGCCCTTAATACATAAATATTTATTATAACAAAAATTTATAATTTTTTTTGTATTTCTAGCATTTCGAAACATTATTGAATTCCACAAAAATAATTTATTTAAGTTTCGGATCGATGATAATGACAGAAACGTTACCGGAACACATTTTAAAATCGATTTTCGAAACATTTAAAGCGCTCGAGGATTATAAAATTTTATGGAAAGCCGATAAAGATTTATTTCCGAAAGAATTAGAAATTCCGTCAAACGTACAATTTGAAAAATGGATGCCTCAACTTGGAATTTTATGTCATCCGAATACCAAACTGTTCATTAGTCATGGTGGAATGTTAGGAACGCAAGAAGCTAATTACTGCGGAGTTCCCGTCTTAGGAATTCCGATTTTCGCCGATCAATTCCTTAATATTAATAATAACGTTGCTAAAGGGATCGCTTTGGGGATCGAATTCAATAAAATTACAAATAAATCGTTTTCGAAAGTCGTTAATACATTGTTGGGGAAAAATTTTAAAGATAAAGCGGAAGAAATTTCTAAGAAATTTATAGATAGACCATTATCAGCTTTGGACACTGCCATATATTGGATCGAATATGTTATAAGACACAATGGAGCGGAACATTTAAGAAGTGATGCTGTTAAATTGGAATGGTATCAATATTATTTATTGGATGTTATTGGATTTTCTTTAATAATTTTAGCTGTTTTATTTGTGATTTTATGGTTTTTGTTTAAATGGTTGATTGGTCGAGTAGTTTTAGTTTTAGGAAAGAAACGAAGAAAGATCAAACTACAATAATTTTTTAAGTTATTAGAGCTAGTTTAATTTATTTATATTAATCGACATTTTGCTTTAATAAACTGTGAATAGAACTTGAAAATAGTTTTATTAATTTCTTAATTTATCTACAATTTCTTACAATATACATCTCACTAAACAACATTGTTGCTAACTCGCATAATCATTCACACTTAGAACAGGAGAAGAAATAAAATTATAGGCTCTAAACGAAAAGAAATTGAATTAAGACGAATATAAAAAAGCGTAAATAAAAATCGAAAAATGATTTATACCATCTTTGTGGAGTACTATCAAGAAAGGTTATTGGTGTTGATGGGAAACAAGGCTTTTGATGAAAGTCAGTATGGTTTTATTAAGGCAATACAGAATAAGGGAATAAAATGCAAGAGGATGTCAAAGCATGTTTGGGACTCGATATTCTTCTTCTTCCGACTTTATAACCCCATTCTGGCCTTTCACCACACAACCGTCTCCTCCTACTAACTCCTACTCTTCTCAAATCTTCCTTCACATAATCCATACTTATTTTGCTCGGTCTACCACTTGCTTTTCAACCTACTGGTCTCCAATCTGTAATATTCCTTGTTGTCTTCTCATTGCTCGTTTCATTAATTCGTGATTTTTTCGTAACCTCCAGGAGCCATCCTCATTTTGTAAAGCTCCAAATATTTTCTGTTGGACTTTTCGTTCAAATGTCCTAAGAAGTTATTCGTCTATTCTCTTAGTCTTCTCACACTTCTTCTGTCTAACTTCCTATCTCAATGATTGAATTTCTTATGCACAACCATTCATTATCTACGTCATCCGTAGGTCGATAATGTGGCACCCTCTACCTAGTCTACCTCAACTTCGCCCGGTATTTCTCCTTTACATTTCCAATCTTCAGTCAAGTTGTATCCCATCTTATGTTATTTGGTCTTTCATTATAAGAACTATTCGTTGTTTTATTTTAAAACTCACCAATTGTCTTTACCTATTTCCATTATTGAGAAATTTCTTCTTAAGAACCAAATTTCATTAGATCTAGAAGAAGATAATATAATATTATAAGTACGAAGGCTTTCACGGCCGGTGTGAATTAAACTAAGATTAGAACTAAAACTAGAAACTTTCGGGTTTTGCCGTGCGTCTTTTAATAAAAGGTTTGACGTTTCGGATGCCATGTTGCAACCTTCTTCAGAAACTGGTTCGAAGTGACGAGATCAAAAAATCGGTAACTATATATAAGTCGGAAAAACTAATTAATAATCAGTTAACGCTAATTACAAACTAATTAATAACTAATTGCGTCGCGTCCGGTGTGAGGCGGGAAGAGGTCTTCGTGTTCACCACCATCTTCCATGTTCTGCTAAGCTCCCAGCCATCCTCTCTGTTGACGTTATTTTTATGTCGGTGAATCTCTATGGCTTCTCTTGTCAGTCTTTGGTAGTATCTGTTGTCCCTAGCCAGCACCTTTGTTTGTTCGAAGTCTATTCGGTGCCCCTCTGCATGGCAATGTTCCGCAACCGCCGA